TCGTTGGAGAATTGTAGGACGCGATGCCTTGAGGATATGGTGGAGTATGGAAGATGATATGGTTTCGGGAGAGGAGAGGGAGAGAAATAATGGGATGCATGGAGGACATGAGAAAGGGTTCGCCGGAGCTGAGCATTGTTCATGACTAGTCGTTAGCCGGACTGAATGACCACGTAGGGTTTAACCTCAAAAATCGAAGAACTGGCCATAAAGTTGGGCCAAGGTCTGTAGGCTGTGGGCCGTGGGCCGTGGGCCTGTGGGCTTGATTCTTGTAAGTGTCATGCGTAATTGGAACAGTAACACTTGTTTTGTTTTAAGAAAGGTCGTCAGCCATCTCATTTTAAGGGAAAATTTTTGGGTGCGATAGACGTACCCAGCGCTGCGTGCGATATTGGGGTTATACCGAGGGTACAAAAAAGTTACATCCGCGGTATAACCCCTTGTAACCTTACTGTAATTTGTTGTAACCTATATGTACCCTAAAATAAGTTTCGCGTTTCTGTTATCATATATTAAGATGTTACACGTAAGTTACAAGGAGGTTACAGAGAGGTTACAAGGGCTTATACAATGGATGTAACCCCCTTGTACCCTCGATATACCCCAATATCGCACGCAGCGCTGCATACGTCTATCGCACGCAAATTTTTAAGACTAAAAATTCAGATGTAAATACCTTGAATGCATTAATTAATATACATGAAAATTTATATTATGTTGGAGAAGGGAAATCTGATGAAATAAAACGAGAGTGAATGATCATCGAAGGATTCCTCAAGAAAGGCCAAATACTGAATTATTTATTAAATAATTATGAGACATAATTAATTTGAAAATATACTCCCTCATCTAGTAAACTATAAATTCTTCCATAATTGTTATGGGATTGTTAGTTATTGATGGTGATTGAACCCATTCAAAAAGAATAATACTTTGTGCTATAGTTAATGAATAAATAAAAAATAATATATACTTCATAATTGACATGGGCAAGAGATTGACAATTGCCATCAACTATGTCATCAAATGGTCGATGTTGTATATCTCAAATGGGCCTTTCAAGATGGAGTCAGGAAACTAGTCTATATTGAAGGACAATTTAACTATTTTAAACTCATCTAACTCAGAGGTATTCATAAAGCATAAGGACACTATTCTAGATCCAAAAAAATCACCTAGCTCAAAGAAACTTGTATATCTTACAAAAAACTCACCCATTTAAGAGACTCACCTAGTTCGAAGCCTCTTACCTTAACCTAGAAGCCACTCACCAACACAAAAGGCCCTCGCTCGGATTACAAAAAAAAACTTAGTAACTCTATCAATTAAGACATACAATCTTACTCTTTTATTTGACAGCCTCTTCGGTTAGTCTATAGAAGCCTTTAAGGTGCTCATCGAGATAGTGGTCCATATATAAGTTACTAATTATTATGTCTTTATATCTATGAAAATATATTCATCCATTTTGTTATTCATTATTGTCGTATTAATTATTTATGATGCCCGAAAATCTTAAAAATGATAGGTCTGAAAGGGTATTTTAACATATGAAATCTACAACAATCTTAGTATTTAATTCATTGGGGAATATGATTTTTTTTAATTTTTTTATTATATCCTAATTTCAATTTCTTCTTTTTGCTTCTCTTTCCCCTGATTTGATCGAGAACTTGAAATTAATAAGCAAGATTTATGTGCCACCACATTCAAATTTGAATTCAACCTTCAATTGGGTATGATGAGAATAAATGAATGTTAAGAACCACAAATTATACACCACCATCAATGAATCACCTTAATAGAAAGCATCCCTATACAAGAAAAATCAAAATTTTATAACTAATAGAATGTTTATTGAGATGGATGAGAGAATCAAACAAAAGATCAAAATAGCATTGGAGTAAGCTCCTCACTCAACCCTAAGGGTGGAGATAGTAGAAACCGCCTTAAATTTCATCATATGAAGTGAACCCTAAAGCGCTATAACACTGACTAAACACTATAAGAAGTGGATCACCTTGATAGTAAGTATCCCTATACATGGAAAACCAAAAGCTTATAACAAATGGATTGCTTATAGAGATGAATGAGAGAATCATACAAATGATCCAAATAGCCTTGGAGTGTGATCCTTACTTAACCCTAAGGGTGGAGACATTAGAAGCCGCCTTAAACTCTATCGTATTAAGACCTCCCTCAAGAATTGGAGCATTAACTTCTATATGAACTATGTATGAGACATAAAAATGAGGAATCTACCCTCCTCCAAGAATATATAAAAGGAGACCACACTTAACAATTGCTTTCTACAAGAAGATGTTAAAAGCCAAACTACTGGCATAATTCAAGATTTCAGACTTAGCATTATACAAGGGAAGAATCAACCTAGTTTATTAATTTATTACTTCAAATTATCTACCTCAATAATTAACATAACTGATGAAGTAATATATATTTATTAATTTTTTTATGTTTTTTTTCCTCTAATGATTCTCATGACTTGCTGAGATACATAACCCTCAAAAGAATTTTCTTATATAGTTTTCTAGTGCTCATAGACCCTAAAAAAACTTATAGATTCTCTTAAAAGTTAAATAGGTGATATGTGACTTTATGGTGAGATTTTAGAGAGAAGTAATATATATTCATTAACTTTTATAGTTTTTTTTCCCTTTAATGATTCTCATGACTTGCTGAGATACATAACCCTCAAGAGAATTTTCTTATATAGTTTTCTAGTGCTCATAGACCCTAAAAAAATTATAGATTCTCTTAAAAGTTAAATAGGTGATATGTGACTTTATAGTGAGATTTTAGAGAGAAATGTTAAAACTCAAAGATCTACATCGACAATCACCAAAATTACCTTTTATAATGCTTGTTAGAAAGGCCATTTTTGATATTCACTTGGGTTTTAATAGACCAAAGTTTTATTAAGCTACTAAAACTTACCAATAATCATTGATTGCTAAAGGGATGAAGGGACTCCCCAATAAGAACAAACTTCCATAGAGCTATTAATGATGATAGAAGGCGATCCCAAATTTAAAGAGCAAAGAAGCGGTTGCACTTTCAAAATCATTCATATCATTAAGGGATAATTTTGGTTTAATTTTATAAGGGAATTACACATTTTCCTCTTCAACCTACCCTTAAACTTGAGGATCTAGTCCAAAGAATTTCTTAGATGACTTTGCTAAAGAATTAGTAAATTGTTGAACCTAAACTTAGAGTCAAACAAATGTCTCCCCTCCTTAGTTCAAGATGAACTTAATTTGGTCTTTAATTATTCGATTGAAGTTAATTTGCTTATGATTAAATCATTAAGAGTCAAGAATCAAACATCATTATAAGACCCATGATACCCTTGAGTACCCTTAAGACACTTGAACCCTGGAATCCAATTCAAAACATTAAATTCTTTCCTAGGAGGCTCTAGACCCACTTTGACTCACCTTGTGATCCTAACTTATTAGTTCAACCCATTTAATCTAACCTGCCCATAATCACCTTATAAGACCCAACAATCAAACAAAATCAAATTTCCTACTTAATTCTTTGGTTCCAAATGAACTCAACTAGTTCTTAGATTATTAAGAACCATACTTATGTTAGATGGGAATCTACTAAACCTAAACCTATAGACCACCATATAATCCCTTAAAAATCTTTCCAAAGAAAAATATTAAGATAAAATTAAATTAAATTTAATTTAAAATCAAAATAAAACAAAACTTAAAGCTAAACCAAACATAAACATAAACTTAAATTAGGCTTAAGAAATCTAAAAGTAAAGTACCACCAGACTTAAATAAATTAAGGAAACTTAAACTAAAGTTATATTAAAATTAAAACTAAAACTAAACAAAAACAAAAAAAAAAACTAAAACTAAAGTAAAGATGAAATAATATTAAAACAAATATAAAATTAATGATGATGACATTGTAGAATTGATAAGTGGATGTTGCAAGCAAATGTTAATGATTTATGTCGAACTATAATTATAAGCTATGAATAGAATGTTGTCTACTCTCTATCTCAACCCTTAAGTAGAATGTGTATCATAATTGCATCCTAATTCTTTAGATTTATCAATATAGTCACTTAGAATTTTCAACTCATAGTGTATCTCCCCAATGGGATTAAATTTTTAACACCACATAGATTTTTAAAGCTCTTATTTTGGTGGTCAGATATATTATGAATGATATAATATCTTGAAAGGTTGAATAATTATTTTATAATGGATTAAATTATTTAATAAAGAATCTAAAATTGGTCAATTTTTGTGAACCATTTTTTTTTGTTACCTTGTTGACCTCACTTTTGGTTGAGGTCTAGTTTTCTCCTCTTTAGTAGCCTAGAGTCTAGTCAAAAGACTTTCCTGTTGACTATTCCTAGAGAATTAGGAAAGGAACCCTCTCCATTAGAAACTTTAAACCATTCTTTGCTCAAATTGAAGTTCTATATATTGGTCTTAACCTCTAGCACTTAGTAGGTGAGGTCAATATGGGGTAGCTCAAGGTGAATCCCCATGTCGACACTATTTTGGTTGGAGTTGCCCGTAAGAAGCTGTCGGTCACCGGAATCAAAATCTCGTCGTCAGCTTCGAAAGGACATTTTAATGTTTAGAAAAATATGAAATCAAACTGACCCCATATTTTTCATAGTTTAAATGA